CCCCTGTCCCCTCCCCCGCCCCGGTCCCGCCCCTGTCCCCCCCGCGCTGTTTCCGGGTTTACATAAACAAGCGCTCGCGGCCGCCGCTTCCGAGTTTTAAATAAACTTCCCCTCCCCGGGCGTGCGGCTCGGCCGCTGTCCCCACCCAGCGCCCGCCCCCGGCGGGGACCCCCCAGGCCCAGGTGACCCCGCCCGCGTCCGGTCCACGCGCGCCCCGCGGCCCCTACCTGCACCCCGGGGACCCCTCGCCGCCCCCGCCCCGCAGACTCGTCCCAGGTTGCAGGCTCTGCCGGGAGCGGCGTCCGCCAGTGCCCAACGCGGCGGGAAAAAGTGTCGCGAAGACAGAGAAGGCGCGCCAGGGCCCCTGGATCTGCTCAGAAGGTTTTTGTGAAGAGCTGCCGGACTGCGGGGCCTCCTCCCCCGGGAGCCGGCGGCCCTGCAGAGCGAGGCCTGCTCGGAGCAGCTCGACCCCTGTCCTGCTGTGCAAGAGTTTACAGCTCCAACGGGAAACTCTGCGGATACCATTTTCCAGCCTCGGTTGCTAAAGATATTACCCCAGAGTGCCAGGATAACGGGAGGCTTTCTGCAGGGTTTCTAAGGCGCTCTCCTCTGCAGAGGAGCCGTCCAAGCTCACTGCAGGCAGCGGGCAGCGGGGCTCTGGCGTTCCACTCACAGGCCGCGCTCACTGTGGCTACCCTTGTTCTCCTGCAGCACCCAGCACATCAGTCCCCCAACTTCCCAAAACACACAGACACACTCATGTGCCCACGTGGAGCCCGCCAGTCATTCTGTGAGTCATTCCAGCTCTTCCAGAGGTGGAGCGAGTTCAGGAAGGACCACGGGGGTTTGTCCCCAGGCCTGGGCCCGAGGCAGCCTGTGCACAGCACAGTGGACATGAAAGGCGGGGCCATCCCAGCACCATTCTGTCCTTTTCCTGTTTTTCTCAGCTGTCTGTTCTCACTTTCTCCAAGGTCTTGGTGCCACGTAAAACCAACATCTGAAATACCACGAGAATGGTGGCCAAGGTGACTTTGTAAAAGGCTGAGGATCACAAATGTAGTCAAGAAGGAACTAGAGGAGGTGTGAAAATGTCAGTGTTCGCAACTGTGCTGCTCGGCAAAACGCGTCCTCCTTTCTGCCCTGCAGGCCCTCTGGTCCCATGGGTACTGCTTTGGCCCCAGGGCAGATGACCTGCCAATCCCAAAGTGGCCCCTGAGGCTTCTCTCCCCTGACCCTTTTCAAATGGCTGGTTTTCTCCAGTGATAAACTATAGTTCGGTTTGGCCTGATTTAGTTTCTAATAATAGTTCTCACTTTGAGATGTATGTTGGAGGGTTGTTTTGTTTTACTTTGCTTTTTTTTGCTGACCTTCGGGCAAATGCAAGTTCTGTTTTCTGTTGAGAAGCCACAACATTTTGTTTTCTCTCTGTTCATTTTTTTTTTAACTCCAGCTACCTTTTCACCCCCACCAAGAAATTACACACAAATAACAGCCCTTATCATCTATTTAGACTAAAACTCTGTTAAGCTTTCTCAGAGAAGGTGGTTTACACTTCCCTGCACGCACATGTGCCCACCAAGCCCCGGGGCCCTCCAGGAGTGAAGACAGGATGGTTCCCCTCCTGGTTCCAGACCCCCTCCCAGGTAACCAGACAGGGCACTGTTTATTACATGCTCTCCTTCTGCCTCTTAACAGCCCCCCAGAGCCTGTCTTCCTGCAAATGGTTTGGAGGTACTGGTCTCCATTCTCATTTGCCAGTTCAACAGGCACTCCTGTCTTGATGGAAATGTTTAGCTTGGACCACTTCCTCCCGGAGGCTGCAGCGCGTTAATGGGACGCAGAGCTCCAGCGCTGGGCGTGATGAAGCCGGTGTGAGCACCATGGCATTTTCTAATCTGGATTAGGAAACAATGCCGTGGAGTTAAGTGGTGGGAGAACAGGGCGAGCTCTGTTCTGCTCTGGAGAGCCCCTGGGGCACTCTGTCTGGAGCAACCTCTGACTGGGTGGCTACCTACAGGCCTGCATTTCTCTGCGTGCTCCGTGCGGAGAACAACAGTGCCTAATGAGCTTCCACCCAGATGCTTGTTAGACTGGAGGGGAGAGCTGGGAGCGGCTCAGGTCCTCAGACGGGCAGGGATGCCCTGGCTGGGGCCTGCTCAGGAAGGACACAGTCATGTTCCCTCACATGCCGGCAGACTGTCTGCATGAAGGATTAGATCACACTTGCTGGTTACCCTGACTTTGTGGTCCTTGTAAAACATACAATAACGTCTAGTGAAGGGGCACGATCGCTCCCAGAGCGCTGCCTTTCGGCAGGGGCATTTTCAAACACATTCTCTTAAGTAGGAAACATGAAAAGTAACCACTATCCCCGTCATGTTTTTCCTCTTGTAAGAGAGAAAAGATGCCTCATTACAAGATGGAACGCTGACTCAAGTTTAAAAACTAAACTTTAAAAGACCTGAATTTTTAAAAGCAGCAATAAGACATATGTGGGGAAATTTGTTCAAGGATTTAAAATTACCCCACCCCCCATTTTCACTTTTCTACTAGCAAGAGCTTATTGTGTAAACATTAAAACGTTACCCGACGTTTAAATATTTAAAATGTTGGGTTTTCTAAATTGGGATGAAATCGTAAGAAACATAAGCAACATGTACCTCCCTTGATCCAAAGTTCATAGGATACTTTAAAACGTGGAACATCGGGGTAGTAAAAAACTTATCCTCTTATGTTGAATTTACGGCCTGCGCTCTTTGCTCAACATATGTAAGTTCTCCAAAGCCGGTGCCATTAGGAACTGCAGCTCCGATGCAAGGGGGCCTCATACTCACTGGAGGGGGGGGCGGGGAGCTGGGGGGACAGGAGCATTTCAAGTGTTTGTCCGAGAAATGTCTGCTTTTATAGAATATAAACACTGGCAGGTTTGCCAGCTCTCTAAATAATTTTAATAAAACAGTACAGAGCTGCTAAGGAATTTGGAAAGGTGTCTCCCTGTCTCCTTCATGCACTTGCCATCTTAATCCCCTAGAATGCTGACCGTCCCTTCAGAGGGTATTTTCAAAAACACCCGCATAGCCTGCCCAGGTCAGTTTTGTCTTCGTGGCAGCTCTTTTAAGGGGATGGGCGAAGGGGGCAGGAGGTTTGAACATGAGACTGCACCGTGGCATGGTGTCCTTAGGTCTCCCCACCTCCAGGTTTCAGAGACAGACACTCGAGCTGTCTTTCTTACTATAAAGCAGCAGCTTGAAACTCGCCGTCCGTTTTTAAACTTTCCTGAAACGTTTCCCACAGTTGGGGCTCTCTCGTCTGTAGGATCACAAAATGGCTTAAATTCGTGGCTGTGCTCGACCGCCCATCTCATCGCTTTTAGCCCCACGGGTCCCACCGCGAGCGTGACATAGCCGCGCGGGGCGGCTCGGCCACCTGGAGCGCGTCTGCCGGGAGCCGCGCTCGGGGTGGGCAGTGGCGGAGTCGCTGGGGAGGGGCGCGGGACCCCCGGACCCCACGGCCCGCGGCTGTTGTTCGAGCCAGAGGATGGCCCTGCCTCACTCGAGAAGACACTGGGCCACCCTTCACCCCCGAAGAAGCCTCGCTTTATCCCAAAGTGCCCTTCGTGGTCCTGACGGCCCCGACCTCGCCCGCCCCCCACATGGCCGCTCCTACGGCGGGACCCGCGAGGCTGTCGCGGCCACGGCGGAGGAGACACCTATTGGCGACACCGCGCGCCCGAAATCAGGGCTGCTCCGGGAGACACCAGGGAGACCCGCTTCCAGGGCGCGCCGCAGACCCCGGCCCGGCCTCCGCGCC